GGTTCAAGAGGTGAACGACTGACGATATTCAGTCACCCCCCCACGAGGGTGTCATGTGGCACAAGGCCTTTTTAACGTGGGCATTCCCGAGCCATTAGGCTCGGCCAAAAATAGCCCATTTGAACCCGCATAAACGGGTTCTGGGCCGGTTTACCCTCCCGAAGGAGACTCCGCCCTTCGGCGTAGCCTCCTTCGGGTTCCTCTCGTCCGTAGGAAGAGAGTACAACCGTGCAGTCAGTTCAGAGGTGAACGACTGACAATATTCAGTCACCCCCACGAGGGTGTCATGTGGCACAAGGCCTTTTTAACGGGGAATTCCCGAGCCATTAGGCTCGGCCAAAAAATAGCCCATTTGAACCCGTATAAACGGGTTCTGGGAAGTTTAACCTCCCGAAAGAGACTCCGCCCTTCGGCGTAGCCTCCTTCGGGTTCCTCCCCCGCCCGTAGGAAGAGAGTTGAACCGTGCAGTCAGTTCAAAAGGTGAACGACTGACGATATTCAGTCACCCCCCCACGAGGGGTGTCATGTGGCACAAGGCCTTTTTAACGTGGGCATTCCCGAGCCATTAGGCTCGGCCAAAAAAATAACCCATTTGAACCCGTATAAACGGGTTCTGGGCCGAGTTTAACCTCCCGACGGAGACTCCGCCCTTCGGCGTAGCCTCCTTCGGGTTCCTCTCGCCCGTAGGAAGAGAGTTGAACCGAACAGTCAGTTCAAAGGTGAACGACTGACGATATTCAGTCACCCCCACGAGGGTGTCATGTGGCACAAGGCCTTTTTAACGTCGGAATTCCCGAGCCATTAGGGCCCGGCAAAAAAAATAGCCCATTCGAACCCGTATAAACGGGTTCTGGGCCGGTTTAACCTCCCGAAGGAGACTCCGCCCTTCGGCGTAGCCTCCTTCGGGTTCCTCCCGCCCGTAGGAAGAGAGTTACAACCTAGCAGTCGGTTCAAAAGTGAACAACTGACGATATTCAGTCACCCCCCCACGAGGGTGTCATGTGGCACAAGGCCTTTTTAAAGTGGGCAATTCCCAAGCCATTAGGCTCGGCCAAAAAATAGCCCATTTGAACCCGTATAAACGGGTTCTGGGCCGTTTTATCTCCCCGAAGGAGACTCCGCCCTTCGGCGTGGCCTCCTTCGGGTTCCTCCCGCCCAGTAGGAAGAGAGTTCAAACCGTGCAATCGGTTCAAAACTTGAACGACTATCAAAGTGAACGACTGACGATATTCAGTCACCCCCCACGAGGGTGTCATGTGGCACAAGGCCTTTTAAACGTGGGAATTCCCGAGCCATTAGGCTCGGCCAAAAAAATAGCCCATTTGAACCCGTATAAACGGGTTCTGGGCCGATTTACCTCCCGAAGGAGACTCCGCCCTTCGGCGTAGCCTCCTTCGGGTTCCTCCGCCCGTAGGAAGAGAGTTGAACTGAACAGTCGTTCAGAAAGTGAACGACTGACAATATTCAGTCACCCCCCACGTGGGTGTCATGTGGCACAAGGCCTTTTTAACGTGGGAATTCCTGAGCCATTAGGCTCGGCCAAAAATAGCCCATTTGAACCCGCATAAACGGGTTCTGGGCTGAGTTAACCTCCCGAAGGAGACTCCGCCGTTCGGCGTAGCCTCCTTCGGGTTCCTCTCGCCCGTAGGAAGAGAGTTGAACCGTGCAGTCGGTTCAAAAGGTGAACGACTGACAATATTCAGTCACCCCCCCACGAGGGTGTCGCGTGGCACAAGGCCTTTTTAACGTGGGCATTCCCGAGCCATTAGGCTCGGCCAAAAATAGCCCATTTGAACCCGCATAAACGGGCTCTGGGCCGGTTTAACCTCCCCGAAGGAGACTCCGCCCTTCGGCGTAGCCTCCTTCGGGTTCCTCCCGCCAGTAGGAAGAGAGTTGAACCGAACAGTCGGTTCAGGAGGTGAACGACTGACAATATTCAGTCACCCCCACGAGGGTGTCATGTGGCACAAGGCCTTTTTAACTTGGGAATTCCCGAGCCATTAGGCTCGGCCAAAAAATAGCCCATTTGAACCCGTATAAACGGGTTCTGGGGCCGAGCACCTCCCTGAAGGAGACTCCGCACTTCGGCGTAGCCTCCTTCGGGTTCCTCCCGCCCGTAGGAAGAGAGTTGAACCGAACAGTCGTTCAGAAAGTGAACGACTGACAATATTCAGTCACCCCCCCCACACGGGGTGTCATGTGGCACATGGCCTTTTTAACGTGGGCAATTCCCGAGCCATTAGGCTCGGCAAAAAAAAAATAGCCCATTTGAACCCGTTTAAACGGGTTCAGGGCCGGTTTTACCTCCCTGAAGGAGACACCGCCCTTCGGCGTAGCCTCCTTCGGGTTCCTCTCGCCCGTAGGAAGAGAGTTTAACCGTGCAGTCAGTTCAAAACTTGAACGACTGACGATATTCAGTCACCCCCACGAGGGTGTCATGTGGCACAAGGCCTTTTTAACGTGGGAATTCCCGAGCCATTAGGCTCGGCCAAAAATAGCCCATTTGAACCCGTATAAACGGGTTCAGGGCCAGTTTACCTCCCGAAGGAGACTCCGCCCTTCGGCGTAGCCTCCTTCGTTCCTCCCGCCCGTAGGAAGAGAGTTGAACCGTGCAGTCGGTTCAAAATTTGAACGACTGACAATATTCAGTCACCCCCCACGAGGGTGTCATGTGGCACAAGGCCTTTTTTAACGTGGGCAGGGAGCCATTAGGCTCGGCCAAAAAAATAGCCCATTGAACCCGTATAAACGGGTTCAGGGGAGTTTTACCTCCCGAAGGAGACTCCGCCCTTCGGCGTAGCCTCCTTCGGGTTCCTCCTCGCCCGTAGGAAGAGAGTTTAACCGTGCAGTCGGTTCAAAACTTGAACGACTGACAATATTCAGTCACCCCCCCACGAGGGTGTCATGTGGCACAAGGCCTTTTAACGTGGGAAATTCCCGAGCCATTAGGCTCGGCAAAAAAAATAGCCCATTTGAACCCGTATAAACGGGTTCAGGGGCCGGTTTTAACCTCCCCGAAGGAGACTCCGCCCTTCGGCGTAGCCTCCTTCGGGTTCCTCTCCGCCCGTAGGAAGAGAGTTGAACCGAACAGTCGCTCAGAAAGTGAACGACTGACAATATTCAGTCACCCCCCACGAGGGTGTCATGTGGCACAAGGCCTTTTAACGTGGGAATTCCCGAGCCATTAGGCTCGGCCAAAAATAGCCCATTTGAACCCGTATAAACGGGTTCAGGGCCGGTTTAACCTCCCCGAAGGAGACTCCGCCCTTCGGCGTAGCCTCCTTCGGGTTCCTCTCGCCCGTAGGAAGAGAGTTGAACCGTGCAGTCGGTTCAAAAGGTGAACGACTGACAATATTCAGTCACCCCCCACGAGGGTGTCATGTGGCACAAGGCCTTTTTAACGTGGGCATTCCCGAGCCATTAGGCTCGGCCAAAAAATAGCCCATTTGAACCCGCATAAACGGGTTCTGGGCCGGTTTAACCTCCCGAAGGAGACTCCGCCCTTCGGCGTAGCCTCCTTCGGGTTCCTCCCGCCCGTAGGAAGAGAGTTGAACCGAACAGTCGCTCAAGGTGAACGACTGACAATATTCAGTCACCCCCACGAGGGTGTCATGGCACAAGGCCTTTTTAACGTGGGAATTCCCGAGCCATTAGGCTCGGGCCAAAAAAATAGCCCATTTGAACCCGTATAAACGGGTTCTGGGCCGAGTTTAACCTCCCGAAGGAGACTCCGCCCTTCGGCGTAGCCTCCTTCGGGTTCCTCTCGCCCGTAGGGAAGAGTTGAACCATGCAGTCGGTTCAGAAAGTGAACGACTGACAATATTCAGTCACCCCCACGAGGGTGTCATGTGGCACAAGGTCTTTTTTTAACGTGGGCAAAAAGCCATTAGGCTCATTAAAAAAATAGCCCATTTGAACCCGTATAAACGGGTTCAGGGCCGAGTTTTACCTCCCCGAAGGAGACTCCGCCCTTCGGCGTAGCCTCCTTCGGGTTCCCTCGCCCGTAGGAAGAGAGTTGAACCGTGCAGTCAGTTCAGAGGTGAACGACTGACGATATTCAGTCACCCCCCACGAGGGTGTCATGTGGCACAAGGCCTTTTTAACGTGGGCATTCCCGAGCCATTAGGCTCGGCCAAAAATAGCCCATTTGAACCCGTATAAACGGGTTCAGGGCCGAGTTTACCTCCCGAAGGAGACTCCGCCCTTCGGCGTAGCCTCCTTCGCGTTCCTCCCGCCCGTAGGAAGAGAGTTGAACCGTGCAGTCGGCTCAAAAAGTGAGCGACTGACAATATTCAGTCACCCCCACGAGGGTGTCATGTGGCACAAGGCCTTTTAACGTGGGCATTCCCGAGCCATTAGGCTCGGCAAAAATAGCCCATTTGAACCCGCATAAACGGGTTCTGGGCCGAGTTTACCTCCCCGAAGGAGACTCCGCCCTTCGGCGTAGCCTCCTTCGGGTTCCTCCGCCCGTAGGAAGAAGCAGTCGCTCGAAAGTGAGCGACTGAACAGTCGTCACCCCCACGAGGGGTGTCAGTTCACAAGGCCTTTTGAACGTGGGATTGAGCCAATATTCGGCCCCCATTTGAACCCGGGGTGTCAGGGCGAGATTTTACCTCCCCGAAGGAGACTCCTTTTTCGGCGTAGCCTCCTTCGGGTTCCTCTCCGCCCGTAGACCATTAGGCTCGGCAGTCGCTCAGAAATGAGCTGACCATTTGAACCCGCACAAAACGGGTTAAACGGGTTCGCTTCCCGGGGCATTAGGCTCTCCTGAAGGAGACTCCGTATAAACGGGTCCCTTCGGCGTAGCCTCCTTCGAGTTCCTCCCGCCCGTAGGAAGAGAGTTGAACGTGCAGTCGGTTCAAGGTGAACGACTGACTCCTTTCCTACTTTTGAGGCGCAGTATTTATTAAGTATGGAATAGTCCATTATTATTATTATTATTATTATTATTATTATGGGTAAGGCCCCATAAGACTTAATCCCATATGTACTACAATTATATGGCGAATAGTGTTCACTCAAATATCTCGCAAAACCAGTATTTTAGGGAATCTACTTTCTACATGAATTAATTCTCAAGAGATTTAATTCCCAACGTTATAAGTTAAGACTATATGTGGAAATTTGCCCTAATGCACACAAGAATTTTGAGAGAATTGTCCGCTATTTTGAAAATTCAGATTGCTCGTAAAATTTGACCACCTAGTGATTTGTGGTAAAATTTACTCGAAGTCATAGGCACATATAAGAAACTTGAACAATTTTCTCTGTTTATGTTGCTTTACACCTGGACGTGAACTGTATTGATGTGAGGAGAAAAGAAATCAATAGATGAAGTATAGACATGTGGTATTTTCAGACAAAACCAAAAAAGAACGAAATCAGCAAATCAGAGAGATAAAGGGAGACAGTGACGCAGGGATTAATTCCCTCAGCTCTAACGGTTTATGTTCTGTTTTATTTATTTTCGTGAACAGAATGCATAACAGTAAAATGTATTGATTTATCTCCCTTAGTTCTGGACGTGTTAAAAGCCTGAAAGACCATTGGTGACCAACAAAACGAAACAGAAATGGAATTATTATGCTTACAAGAGAAGAAATGAGGAATTAGTGAGCTTTTCTTGAAATAAAAAAAAAAGTTAAATGTAAACATAACAGGAAATAAAGGCGCAGAAGTATAAGATATGAAAATAGAAAGATTTCCATGAAAGATTCAGTGGTCTGCTCAAGGTGAAATTGCGTTTTCATTGTTAACTCGTTAGAGTCGAGTTTCTGCTATCTTTGGAAGGAAAACAATCGCAATGCACTAGATTTGCGTTGGACAAACTAAAAGTTGGCAAATATAGTGCGCTGATTTTTGTCCGATAAAATAATCTAACGAGACAGGGAGAAAAGAAACGGGCATCGAGGAGTTAATTTTGTCTCTCAACGGAGACGGGAACACGTTATACAACTGTGTAGATGTTTACTGAAAGCAATTTGGAAAATAGAGAAAAAAATGAAAAAAAAAAACCAATGAGACAGAAAAAAGGAGAGAAAAAAAAAATAGAAAAAAAAATAAATGTTTTTAAACGACATTTAAAGAAAACGTCACAGGTAGACATAAAAATGTGTCGAGATATATTAGTAAAAAATATTGATCTACATCTATAAAAGATATAAATCTATGCGTCTTTAAATCTCAGTTTTTATTTAATCTATCTAAGAATATTTTACTATCTATCTACATATCTATCATCTATCTCAGTTATTTCAATATCTATTTTATTAAAGACATTTTATTATGTTTAAAAATCATAATATTTATATATATATTTTATAGATTTCTATATAAAAGTCTTTAATCTATCAATCTCAGTCCTCTATTCTATCTATCTATCTATCTATCTATCTATCTATCTATCTATCTATCTATCTATTATCTAATATATCTATCTATCTATCTATCTATCTATCTATCTATCTATCATCTTTGGTTCAATATATCTATCTTTATCACAGTCTGTTATTTCAATATCTATCTATTTATCTATCAGTTATCTATCTATTTAAATCAGTCAACTATGTATTATTTTGGAACTTTTGAATTTCTATATCAAAATTTGGTTTCTATTCAGTATTTGTTTCTATCTATCTATCTATCTATTTAAATCATTCTGTATTTCTTGGAACATTTTATATCAAAATATATTCGTATTTAATTCTGTTACATTTAACATATATCGATCTATGTTATATATATCTATCTATCTATCTATCTATCTATCTATATATATATATATATATATGTCTATGTTCATATTTACTTATTTCAATTTATTCAAAATTTTATGTATTTTTAAACACTTCTCGTCTATCTATCTATCTATCTATCTATCTATCTATCTATCTATCTATTCTACACTGTTTACATTTATCTATCTCAATGTATCCAGTTATGTATTTCCTACTTTCCCTCAGAGTCTGTTTTATCTGTCTATCTATCTATCTATCTATCTATATATATATATATATATATATATATATATATATATATATATATATATATATATATTATTGTGTGTGTGTGTGTGTGTGTGTGTGTGTGTGTGTGTGTGTAACTAAATAACCGAAGGGGACAGCAGGAATTCGTTTATTGCTTCAACGGAATGCCAAACATTATTTATCCACACATTGCATTATCCAGCAATTGACTTTGCTGATGTACATTCTTCAGAGTCCATAGACATTCACAATCACATGAACACCATCCTCACCATCACACCTCGAATGTCTACAAAATATAAAAAAAAAATGAAGTGAAAATCATGGTATAAGTTTATATTAACGTGTAGAACACATTCTACCATCAACGTGGAACAACTGAAAGACATATCGCTTCCATAATTGGTTGGTTTTTCTCGATAAATGTTGAAATATTCTGGTTCGATAACTCTCCATATCTTATTTAAAGTATTTACATTGTTTGGACTGTTGTCTTCATCTTGTTACAGTACTGACGACGTTTCGACCACTGTACCACCAGCTTTCTTCAGGTGATTCAAATTTTGTGTAAAACTCTATATATACAGTTTTGAAAACTAAGAATTTATTGATTTTAATCTTATTAGTCTCTAAGGCCCTTTCAGCCGACATCTCATTAGGAGACACTCGTTGGATCATTAATTAATGAAAAGAACAGTAACGAAAATAAAGAGCAAAGAAAAAGGGGGGAAACACGCTAAAATAACAAACAAATGTATATAACGAGGGAAGGGGAAATAACGTGTAAATAAATTAGCGAGGGACAGTTAAAATAAAAAAAAAAAGTGTATATACTTTTAACGAGGGGAGGGGAAATAACGTGTAAATAAATTAGCGAGGGGCAGTTAAAATAAAATATCCCCCAACAGATTAAGGGACTTTACAAATTCTTTCTGCCGGCAGCGAGAAGGTTTCCTTAATCCTATACAGACTGATTCCAAAATCTTCAAAATGATTGAATGATTTTAAACCAGCCGACTTATATATATATATATATATATTATATATATATATATATTTTTTTATATATATATATATATATATATATATCGAGCACGGGCCATAACTCCTCCGCATATCTCAATGTCAGATATATTCCTTTTAAATCAATTCTCCACATTTTTGTTCACATCTACTGTATACCGGTATTGACTCTTTGTTTCAGGTGATTGGATTCAACAAGCGCTTTTATCCAATGTGTTATGTGTCATATACGCTAACAAAGATAAGGACAACAGTCCCAACAATGTAAATAATTACAATGTCACATCTGATAAATATAGACAGATGTCCATATCTGCTTCTTCAGTATGTGACGTATTCCTTCAGGACATAGGCATCCATGGATCCTCACAAATTCCCGTCTCTTTTAGTACTCGATAAATGTCTTTTTGTTATTTCTCCTAAACTCCGTTCTGTCAACCATTCACTCAAGTTTGGGAATGCTAATTTGTATATCTCAGAATCAAAGAAAGAAACAAGGGCAAAACAATTTGCATTTAGTTTATTTTAATTTCCGGCCATTATATAAAACAATTAAAGATCTTTTTTATAAAGTCTTATTGTCCTTTATATCCGGGTCCCCTCAGGACTTACGCGATCATGGCTCTCCTCAACATCCTGCCGTATGTAGCTCTTAATAAATTATTAATTGCATGAAATCACAGGATGGTGATCTATAAGGAATCTTCTTTCATCATGTGGCGTGTATTTTCACAATGTAGGCGATCATGGCTCTCCCCAACTTCTTGTCCTTTTGATCTCTTGATAAATTTTGTCTGTTATTTCTCCTAACCCCTGTCCTGCCATTCATTTATTCAAGCTCACTAAGTAAGTTATGCTTTGTTTTCCTCTGACCCTTTTGTCTTTAATCTGTTCTGTGAAAATCAGATTTTCTTAAATCTCTTTCCTCACCATATGCCCGGCAAAATTTAAACTGTCGCTTCCGGATATTGTGTAGAAATTCATTTTTTGTTCCGTTTTTCTAACGCCCCGTCGTTGCTCACATATTCTCAGCATGTTTCTGGAGAACCACATTTCTGTTGCTTGAAGTTTCTTCTTCATCTTTGGGGAGATTTTCCAGCGTTGACTGACATATAAAGGAATAAATATCACGTTACAGTTCAGTAAACATTCCTTGATTTCTAAAGAAATTTTCCTGTCTCTTAATTATCTGCTTAGTGTTTGGAATTCTCTTTAACCATGCCAATGCGCCTTCGGATGTCAAGTGTCGCACGAGTTTGTTCTCTGTTAGAATATTTCCCAGATATATAAATTGATGTAGCTGTTTGATTTTGCTATCTCTGATTTGTAATGTATTTTGCACTTATCCTTTTGTAAACAACAATGCATTCTTTCTTCTTGCCCTTGATGTTAAGTCTATTCTTCTTATTTTCGTTCACTACCTTCGATAGTTGCTTTTCGTGTCTCCTATCAACATTGTGTTATGTGTATATCTGTTGTAGAGTAGTTTTCACAGTGGAGGCTTGTATTTCTATAAGTCGTCCTAAATTAGGTTAGACGTACAAAACGTTAGGAACTTGAAATAAGAGTTAATGATGCAGCAATCTAGTTGTGATGGTTGATACTTCTATGTCCGACATCGACTGACTCACTCAACGCCACTGAGACCAACTGGCCACTGCTACTAAAACTTATTATCTGTGGGAGAGTCTATTACAATAGAATATGTATTATGGTACAACAATATCTTATGTTGTTAAGATTGTACCCGCTAATGAATCCTGGTAGCACTGCTAAGCTTCTCACAATTGTCTCGTTGTATAGGTTGAATAAGTCGGGTGAGGTGACAAATCATTGTCTTATACTCCTATCTATGTTTTGTATTGTTACTATACTAATTTTCTCTTCGTGTACATACGAATTACTGCCAATTTAGCTTCTTAATTTTCATAAAAACTTTCCTAAATATGACATGATTGCTGATCAGTTCTTACAGAAAATTGTGGCATACATTATCGAACGTTTTTGCGCTATGTCTAAAACTCAAGTACACACCCTTTTTCCTTTATATTGCTCTTTTTCTGATAACATTCTGAGCATAAGTATCGCGTTCCATGTCCGGATGTTTTTTAACGAACCCTCACTGTTCTTGTCCTATCTCTGGTTTCATTCCACTACGCACTATATTCTTCAGAATTCGGATGTTGAGTTTTGTTTTGTGGCTCATTAGGACGATTGTTCGGTGGAATTCTCATTCGTTTGCACATGGTTTCTTGGACAGTGCTATGAAAATTAATCTGCTTAGGCCTTCCGGTATAACCCTATTGTTATAGATTTCATCTATTATTTCTGTAATCTTGTCCATAGCAAAATAATGTAAGGCTGCCAGCATCTGTATTAAAATTCCATCTGGCCATTCCACTTTGTTTCGGCACAATTTGGCCAGTGCAGCTTCCACTTTTTTTTAGTATTTCCGGCCTGTCAGTATTCATCGGAATACGGATGATCATTTTTGTTATAAGCCTCATTATAGTTTGTTATTTGTAGATTCAGAATCTTGTGTCCCGACACACCTCAGCAATCTCCCGATTGTTAGAGTGGTCTCATATCGGGTAAATAAGGCATTTTTGATAGAGTTCGTGAATGGGTGCCAATGGTCGCGAAAATGTCCAGCAATCAGTTGTCGACTGGGCCAAGAAATGGTGTGTAAATTCTAAAGTCTCCGAATCGTAAATATCTTTTATTATAGTAGAGGGGTATTTTTAATTTCCATCATTAACTCATTTTGCTTCCGGCTAGCATGAAGTGGATTCGTTTTATTTCCATTACCAGGTCTGCTAGGAAATTTGATTCACTTTATCCTTGCAAGACAATCTTTCTCGTTAAAATCCATATTTATAAATTTACTATCGAATACTGCTGCCGTATCTGGTTTGGACTACCTGCTATATTATTCGAGATTCTTGACAAATTCCAAAAAGATGACTGTACTTTTATATTTCCAAGTCTGGCAGCTCGTCTTCAGTCAAAACTCGCATCGTCGTGACGTGGTTTTCTCCATCTTTTTTATAAATATCTTCCTGGCAATTGTTCAATGAGGTTTTCTCCTTAAATTGAAGAGTACTACTTGATTGGCAGTTAGGTCTCATCGTTATACAGTTGAATGAGCTAGATGTAACCGTAATTTCTATTCTAATATTTGATTTTCTACCATTTTGCGCCTACGGAATTCTCTTCCAGTTTCTAACTTCTTTGTCATCTTTAATTATCGAAGGTTTAAATGCAACGTCCATTGCTATCTTCTATTTCCCTGAATCTCGTTCTTTTATTTTCGTCGCTAATGTCTTCTCATTTTCTTTCCCATGCAGTAATCTATTGCGTCTTAATATCATGATCGCCTTTCTTGGATTTAGAAGGTATGATGAATCGTCGCACAGAATATTTAGAGTCATCTTGAGACGTGGAAACAATACTGTCACTATGATTTGGACTTCAACTGGACCGTAAATTCTCTGATCACGCCACTGGTTCAATGAATTCAACCTCAAATTTCAAATTTCTGTTCACCAGGCTATGTGTAGGACTGAATCAAGTACTATAATATTAAACATCGGTCATTTCCTCCCCCGATATATATATATATATATATATATATATATATTATGGCATAAAAAGCAACAAAATCTTTATTATAGGGCATGATAAATTTAAAATAAAAACGCATACACCAGTCGACCGGTTTCGTTCCCTCTCATCAGAACTGTTAACGGGAAACACAAATTATGAAGAGAAAAAAAAGAAGAGAAAGTTTGTCATGAATGAATGAACAGGGAAAGATAAAAAATATAAAAGTTATACCAACAAAATACTAGAGGCACAGCACAGCAAGTCCAAGCAAACAGCCTCTTTGTTTATAAAGAGCAGGTCGCCTGGACCTGATGTACAACGTCTCCAACACTTTAAGATGGAATAATGAGTGTGTTCTGGCCAAAACGGAAAACCAGTTCACACTGAAATCCATCGGACAAGTAGGATTCATTATAAAGTGATCCGTATTCGAAGACCCATACGTGTTACGAGTGGATACCATTCGTAACAGGTATGGGTCTTCGAAAAATTTTTATTAAGTATTATATCAGGTACGTGCTGTTTAATTCTAACGTCCAAATGCTGTGTCGTTCTACCTATGTAATCGCATCCACAACTACATTTGAAATAGTAAATAACAGAATTAATATGGTGGGGGTTAGAACATCTTTACACATAGACGAAAGGACAGACTTGGTTTGAAAAACAACACAAACGTTTTGATGAGAGGTGACGAAACCGGTCGCCTGGTGTGTGTGTGTTTATTTTAAATCTATCATGGCCTATAATAAAAAAAAAGTCTTGCTTTTTATGCCATAATATACATATATATATATATATATATATATATAGAGAGAGAGAGAGAGAGAGAGAGAGAGAGAGAGAGAGAGAGAAGGGGGTACTGAACGCTATAATACACGTAAAACTTTTGTCACTTAGCGGATTAGTGTTACCTTCAACATCCCGACTTCAGAGTTTCGGAATCCTCCGGTAATCACTCTGTCCACTCGTCAGGGGCATCAGCAATTAACAGCCTTTTATTCTCGATTTTTTATATGTACTTTTCGTTAGTGCAAGTGTTTTTTATGTGTTTTGTTTTTTTCAGAGTGTATGTGTTCGTGTGTGACTTCGCGCGTGTGCGGAACATCGTGTTTATTTGTCTTTTGCGTTGGTTTTTTTTTCACTTTAAACTCAATGGGTACCTCCTACTTTCGGCCTGGTCCCACATCTAAGCTACGCTTGGAAAATCCCTATACTAAGAATCAGGAAGAGTCAATTAAACATTCCAGTGGAAATAATGAGAAAAGACCGCTTATCAGAGGCAAGAGATGCAAACGAAAGCACAAAATAACCTTACTAACTAGCTAATTTCAATAGTTAAGAGAACAGTGTTTGAACGATATAGCAAAACTACATACCTTACTAAGTGGTACAAAAGACAAAATGCTGCGGGGGACTATGATCACTAACCTTTTGAAGGGACAAAGATGAAGAATACCTTCGCCTAGGGCATGTATCCAACTTTCGTATGGAACGATCCCGCTCGAATAACAACGAAGTGTTTACACGATTCATATGTTAATTCACGGTCAGATTCTTTCAATGGCTATTTACGTAATTAAGTTAACTCTGGCGATTGATCAACAAAGTGAACTTACGAACATTCATCTCCCAGTAGAGAATCTTCTATGTTTGTCCTACTCAGCTGAAAATCATGCATATTGATAACTACTAAAATGCTATCAGCTTTGCTTGCTATAAAGGAACTTGGAATTCATAACATTAAGTGAAGCACAGTGATTACAGAAGAACAATCTGAACAGAGAAACTGTTTATTAATCGTCAGAATTCATAAAAACTACAGACGTTTCTCTGTTTCCTCTTGTACAGGGAACGGTAGAAATACCTCCCACATATACCACCCAGAAATACCAACCACATATACCATCCAGAAATACTATCCACATATACCATCCAGAAATACTATTCACATATAACACCCAGAAATTCCACCCACATAAGCCATCCAGAAATACTACCCACATATACCACCCAGAAATACCACCCACATATACCATCCAGAAATACCACCCACATATACCATCCAGAAATACTACCCACATATACCACACAGAAATACCATCCACATATACCACCCAGAAATACCACCCAGAAATACCACACATATATACCATCCAGAAATACCATCCACATATACCACCCACATAACCACCCAGAAATACCACCCATATATACCACCCAGAAATACCATTCACATATACCATCCAGAAATGCTATCCACATATACCACAGAGAAATACTACCCACATATACCACCCAGAAATACCATCCACATATACCACTCAGAAATACAGCCAACATAACCACCCAGAAATACCACCCAAATATACCACCCAGAGATACCATCCACATATACCACCCACATAACCACCCAGAAATACCATTCACATATACCATCCAGAAATGCTATCCACATATACCATCCAGAAACACTACTGACATATACCATCCAGAAACACTACCCACATATACCACCCAGAAATACTATCCACATATACCACCCAGAAATACTATCCACATATGCCACTCAGAAATACCTCCCACATTAGAATAAGATTTTAGGTAAATGAAAAAATCCACAATCTTCCCACATATCCTTATAATCTGTGCCTCTTATAGTGTATTATGTCTAACACGATGGGCTCCCGGGTCCCACCCGAGATAAATACCATCGTGAAAGAAACATGGGCAAAACAATTTGCATTTAGTATATTTTAATTTCCTGGCACTATATCAAACAATTAAATCTCTTTTCAATCAAGTCTTATTCTCTTTTATATTCAGGGTCCCCTCAGGACTTACGCGTTCATGGCTCTCCTCAACAACCTGCCGCATATAGCTCTTAATAAATTGTGGTTTTATTGTTATTTATTCTTATCCCTGTTTTGCCATCACTAAGTGTGTAATGCATTGTATCCCTTTGTCTCTATTGAGTTCAATCTGTCCTGTGAGTATCAGTTTTTCCAAGCCCTCTTTCCTCAAGCTCAACGATATTCAATTTTTAGTTCAGAGAGCAACTTTTATCTTTTTTTCTTCTTCTTTATGTACCGTTTCCATTTTGAACGTATGCGATCAGGGATCTCCACAACTTCCTATCTTTTGCAGTTCTCAATAAATGTTGTCTTTCTGTTATCTCTCCTAAATCCTGTTCCGTCATCCATTTAATCAGAGGCGCCAGGTACGTTATACGTTGTTTTCCTCTGTCTCTCTTACCTTCAGTTTGTCTTGAGAGTATCAGATTTCTCAAGCCGTCTTTTCTCATTATGTGCCCGATAAACATCAACTGTCTTTTCCTGATGTCATATATAACTTTCATTCATATCTCCCGAGATAAAAGTAGCCCACTGTTTTACCACATTCCAGTCCTTTCTCAGTGAGATTTGGGGGTACCTCTTCAGGTCGTAAAACTGGGTAATGTTTTATTTTTCCGAATTACTATTTTTATACATAGCTATTTCTGAATTTAAATTTAATTTTTCTTACATTTTCAAAATATACAATCAGAAATGTCACCATTGATTAATTTATAGAAAGTTTATTCCACTTAACTACCATGCAGTGTTCAGAACGCGGACATCGTTACTACATTCAGGATAGCAATGGATTTATTTGAATATCTAAGCTATGATAGTTGTTAACTATATAGATGTAATTATTTATATGTTATTAATAGAATGTTACAAGTTATAACAAATAATTTTTTTAGAAAATAGTTTTAAAACTTAATATTAAGACATATTGCCAATTTCACATATATATTTCATTCGAGCAATATATAAAATCGTATTGAATTTATATAATTTATTACGAAATGTTAGCACAGACAGCCAGAAATAACAAACATTTTATCTTTAATAATTCTCATGGTTTCAAATATTAATTATGCTTTAATATGTGCTGTGTATATAAATGCAGATTTAAAAAGTAAAGATTCTCTTTGTCATGACGCAAAATGATAACAAGTTTTATTCTATATAATCTCTCATTATTGGTGGCAAATGATGGCTTTTAATAACTTTCGGATTTTCATTACCCTCAGCAAAATCTACTCCTTGATGACTGTAATTTATTTTGTAACAGTTGTCATTCAATTCATTTCCTGAAACGCTCCAATCGCCTTCGATGCGCCTCGTCAGTGTTTCATTCCAAAAGTTACGAGAATATTAAAATGAGAGCGATGAAATATAAAAGCAACCTATGCAGGTTTAGTGGTTTGGCTACTTCTATAATTAATGTATAAACTTTCTACAAAAAATATTTAACACTAGCAGGCTTCGCTCGCTCGCTATCGCTTCGCAAATTAAGGTATATTTACTACTTGAAATTTTTGAAACACAAATTTTAAATGAACATTTCATGCATAAATTGGCTTGTTGTAGTCAAAGAAAATTTTACAAAGAGATACCAATTTGTTGAAGTCAAAGTAAAATGCAAATTTCAAGCATTTTCTGCACTATATTAGACGATATTTCTAAACATAACGATTTTATATAAGACTCAAAACAATCATCGAATAAAAGAACATTAATGAAGGACACTTAATAAATGAAATATTTTTTAAATCAATATGGGAATTAGTTAAACCTGAAGAGTGATATTGCCTAGAAATAGATAATACTAGCAGGAGAGCCCGGCGTTGCCCGGGGATATAACAGTAAGAGATAGATCAAGTATCCACCATCATAAAGACTGAAAAATAAAATTGACAAAGATTATTGTTTAAGGTTGACGGACACGCATGTCTTAATTAGTTTTTTTTTTGTTTTTTTTTTCACGAATTGGTCAAACCCAAACTCAAACAAAAACATTGTTTTCAATCGTTATGAGTCTACTGATTGAATAGAATTTTATTATAAACAATTGTCTTGTAAATGGAATTTTTAAAGCATTCTGAATGTAAAAATAATAATAAGAAACACTACATGCCAAAAAAAAGTTAAGTTTTGTTGAAATCGGTTGAAAAATGTAGGTAGCCTTTCTGTAATCTTTTAGTTTTACAATTTATGATTTTTACTTATTGAATACAGTAAAAAAAATTGGACACCATGTGGATTTAAAGTAGTTTCCCGTTCCGGTTATTATTTTTAGTTAGGACTTGTGTATGTTTAGATTTCATTATCTTTCCCTAAAGATAAAGAATTTATTCCGATGTTTGTATTCGTACAATCAGTAGAGATCGTTAGATTATTGTTTAAGTTTGACAGACACGCATGTCTTAATTAGTTTTTTTTATTTTTATTTTTTACGAATTGGTCAAACCTAAACTCAAACAAAAACATTGTTTTCAATCGTTATGGATCTACTGATTGAATAGAATTTTATTATAAATAATTTTCTTGTAAATGGAATTTTAAAGCATTCTGAATGTTAAAAATAAAGAAAAAAGTGTGCAAAAGAATAAGAAACACTATCTGCCAAAAAAAGTGAAGTTTTGTTTTATCGGCTGAAAAATATAGGAAATCCGCTCCCATATTTAAAGTAACCCACACACACAAACAAACCGATGTGAGTTGTCCCCCTTCCATTTTCACGATGTCTCTTAATCGTGTTTTCAAATTGATTTTGTGCAAAGAAAATTATATTTTTCCCATTTTTGGCGCTGTTAGAACCACCACAAGGTAATTTTATGTAGTCCTGTGAAGTTTTGTTGAAATCGGTTGAAAAATGTAGGAAATCCGATCCAATATATAAACGTTACAGACACACACACACACACACACACACAATCTGCGTTTTATAATAAGTAAGATATAATAGACATTGAGCTTTTAAAGAGTACATGGCTTTTTAATCTCGCATTTATTCATATAGATTCCATAATATATGTTTTACTTAATTATCTATTATTTCTCTAACCTTCAAATGTTGAATGTATAACTAATTCTAATTTCTATTTTCCCATTATTACACTATATTAATTTTATCTTATAAAGTGTCCTCTGTTCTGTCACCCATGAAAGAAAGAAATTGTTTATACTGAAAATACGTACATCGAATCGTCTTTAAATTAAGTGACAGCAGAAGGATTATCCTTGAACTTTTAAAAAGGTAAGATTAAACATTAATTCAGTGCTTAAATGCAGCGATCAATTTTGAGTTCTTCTGTAGTTTATTGAGGCCAGCCGCATCTACTTCTCCCTATCTATTGTGATGATGGCCAAACCTAACCTTTGTTTTAATATCCAAGTAGGAAAATAAAATCTGATGTGGTTTAGAAGCATCTAGCATGTGCGGGTAGTGCAATAGATATCGGTTCGAATTGTGAAAGAGGAGAACAGAGATCGAATGTAAGTCAGCATCGTTAAAGTCATTTACGCACAAATGTCTTTGGAAAAGTTATGAATCCATCTCCTCTCTCAAGATAAGAGTTGATTAGTAGGAGTTGTGACTGGAAAAATCATTGTTATTCGAACAAAAAAAAGAAAGAAATATTCCTACATACCAAAATATGGTTCGGCATTTTATAATCAAAAATCTTGAGATGCAAATTAGAACACGAACGACGGAAACATTAAAAACTAACACTTTGGAAAAGGCTAATGAATTATTTGCGTGCTATAGGGACAATAATCATGATTCTTTACCCGCTGCCCTACGCAGATAAATTTGGCAAAAGGCCGAGCTTAAAGGGAAAAATTCCCTATAGACCACGTAAAAACAGAGTCAGTTTACCGAGACGAGACTGCCCTTCGGCAGAGCCTCGTCTGTGGGATACACTCTGACGTAAGCTACACAACAATTATGACATACATTTCCTACACAACCTTAGGCCGCAACAAATCAGAACTGCTAGAGCATTATAAAAAACTTCAAAAAAAGTTATTTGATTTTCCTTGTCTATCGCATTTAATGAAACATAGATAAAAGAAAGTTTGCAGATCAATTATACATATATATATATATATATATATATATA